TGAAATACCGAAAGCACGCCAATATCAACTTGTATTAAAATTTGATGTCATTTCGCAGTAAAATTAGCTAAGTTCTATTAATAAGTAATGCATAAAATACTCTACAACTGTCAAAAAATGAATTTTGATTTTGCAAATCTAACAGTATATTTTAAATTGTAGTTACGGTTGGAAATAAAATAAATTTTTACCTGAAATACCGAAGGCACGACAATATAAACTTGTATAAAAATTGTATTCCATTTTTTTTTAAATAGCTATTTTCAATTAATAAATATCGTATGAAATACTATATTACAATGAAAAGTTGAATTTTGAAAACCAAAACTGGACTACCCTAATAATAAATTGAAATAAGAAATACAAATTATTTAAAAAAATTTGACATTATTTAACATGTAATCGACAGTGTTCTCTATTAAATAATTTATACGTCTATGAAAGTAGTTAAGAAAACAATATTATCACCTTTTGACATTCTTTTCTCATCTATTTATAATACTTCTGGTTATAAATATCTGGTTATATAACTTCTGGTTCTTAGTCAATGACACGTTGCTTTCTTCCTCAATCCAGGCTGTTGATTATTTTCTTCACTACTGCAAAATTAATAATCAATATTTGTAAATAACAGTTGATGTTAATTGTTTTATAAATAAATTTTTTTCTCTATGAGAGAAAAGAAAATCTAGTTGATAAAAATATAACCTACAAAAAAAGTTAGGTACTATCACACTTCGTTTTAAGTATAATCTTATTCAAAATGAAATCAAATTAATATTCTACTCACCATACTATTTACAAAAGTCTCCTTTTCAGCAATGAATCCTTTTGACTCTATCGAAGAAACTGTCTTATATTTCATTGGCGACTAACAACATCTATTTCTTCAATTTGTAGGATAAAATTAAAAGATCAGATTACTTATAAACGCACATTACAATTTTCTGCTAAAATAAAAATTTTCTTTTTTGTTAATCAAACATTTTCACTTAATACTGTTAATAATTTTTTCTATTATTTTGGAAAATAATTGAAATGTAACACACTTAGACAATTTTTACAAGAACAGGCTACAACTTGTGTTTTCAGTCAAACAACCATCGAAAGGATAGAATGATATAGCCTTTCTGCAACATTTATAAAGGTGCATTTCCAATTAGGCTGTATCACTGGTAACGTCAAAGTCGATTTCAGTTGTGACGTCAGACCTTCACCCAAAGGGCCGTTCCAGAATGGACTCAGGCCGCAGTCCCATGGCAGCGTTTTGTGTTGCGTTGTAATGAGAGAGAATGCAGCAAACGTATATTTGCGTCTTTTTCTCTGCCTTTACGACGCAACGCAAAGCGCTGTCATGGGACTCCACAGTAAGAGTGAAAAGAACAACAATATCTACCTATCTCTTTTGCACTCATGATTTTCTGTTTTCGGTCGACGGTATACCCATGGCACCGTTTTACGTTGCGTTTTGTAACTAGGTCATGAGTGTAAATATAGCGAACAAAATATATATAAAATATATCTCAAATATATCTCCATCTCTCTCACACTCATAGCCTAGTTACAAAACACAACGCAAAACTGTGCCATGGGACTGCACCGACTGCACCCTTATGGGTGGAAAAAATTTTTTATTTTCTTTTAATGTTTTGCAAATTTAATGTATTTAAACACTTTCTATTTACATGTATTTGTTTATAACTATTATCTCTATGTAAAAAATGTTGTAAACAAACGTTCTTAACCTCAAAAACATATACTTTAACATATTTTCAAGTTCTTGTGAAGTGTTGATTCCACTACAATTATTTTATGGAATTCGTTTCAATTACATATGTGTAAAAAGAAAATGTATAAAATTTATTAAATTTGCAAAATATTGAAAAGAAATTGCAAAAAAAATTTTTCGATGAATGAAAGTTGTTGTAGAAGCAGCCTTGTGGAAGCACCTAGGCGCCACAAGGTTTCTGCTCAAGACGTTTCAGCTATTGAAACATAGGAACACGTTCGATGGGTGACTGTGGGTGTTTTTGACGTCGTCGGTCGTACTGGTCAGTTGCCACATAAAGGTGCTCAAACTGTTTATTTGATGGAGAGTCCACAATAGGTGCAAAAGGCAAGAAGTGCAAGTGCGAACCAATGCTAAATGTATAGGAATCGCACTTGCACTTGGACTTGCTACCTACATATTTGCACATATTGTGGACTCTCCATGAGACTATTTAGTTTAACCTAAATAGTCTCAAATAAGCACCTTTTTTGTGGCAACTGACCGGTACGACCGATGACGTCGAAAACACCCTGTTACTAATTAAAAAATTTTGAATAATAAATAAAAATGTACTAAATAAATTTATATTCACAATTTTAATGTAATAAAACGTTTTTTAGATATAATTTACAACACATATAAATTACAAGGTAAATTAGATTCTTAAGAAAAAATTCTATATTTTAAGGTTATAAAATGTGTTATAAAAGAGTAATGGAAAAAGGTTAACATACAATAATTTTTTTTTTAATTTTAATTTACCTGGTTAATTGTAAATAATACCAAAAAACACTTTATTACATTAAAATTGTCAATTTCAATTAATTTCATGAGACGCATTTCGGTTTTCTAAAACAAATTTGTTAGAACTTTCATTATATAGAATTTTATTTGCTATAAATTTCCCTTATCCGTCCTTTTATGTATCCTACTTAATAATTGTCTTTTACAGAGTAGATAAGCAAAATATATATTAAAAAAATAGAATTTAAACAAATTTACAAAATTTTTATTTTGTAAATGGTAGAAGTTTTGTTTGAAAGAATTATTATGTCTCAGAATTTTTTTTATTAGAAATTTCTTTTTTGTGAATTTTTATTTACTTTGATTGTCATTTCAACGAATTTTTATAATAAAAAATTTGTCCATAACCGAACTTTCAGTAAACAAAATTCACATGACATTGAATTTTAATTGACACAAATTTTATTTGACCGACAATGCTCCATTAGTTACAGACAACAAGTCTGTCTATTGAAGTTTTATCGGACAAATTATATTTCTGTTCTAAACTTGCATGTACTTGATAACTCGGTGAATTAAAAATTCGTGCATATGGCAATTCTGTCACATTTAAATTCTATAAAATAAAATGTACATAGTAAAACACTTTGAAAAATGGAAATCCTACTAATTATAAATTCGGTGCTATGTGAAATAAAAAGTTAATTACATGAAATTTATGTCAATTAATATTGTGAGGAATAAAAATTCGACTAAGAAAAAATTAATTTTAATATTTATTTTGTCAATTCAAAAATTATTTAAATATCTATTTTATTTAATAAATATTTTAGCAATTAAAATGTTTGAGAAATCAAAATCTGATGTAATATGAATTCTGTATAATGATAGTTCGATTAAGGATAAATTTTGTATTTTGAAAATAGTATTTAAATGAAAATCATAGTTAATAAAAATTATCAAAATCGAAATTTCCAATAGAATATGTTGCTGAAATAAAAAATTCTATTAAAAAAGTAATATTGTTGCAACTTTGTTTAAATTCTAATTCCTTTATTATATATTTTGATTATCTACGTTGTAAACACTTATTAACTAAAATAAATAAAACTTATGTACATTTCTTTTGCATTCTTTATAATGGAAGTTCTATTAAATTCACTTTGGAGTAACAGAATGCATCTTAATTTCATTACCTTGTCATGCATAGTTGAAATTGTTTACCATAATTCAAAAAAATATAAAAATTCACCGGTAATAAAAGTATGAATTTGGAAAGAATTTATAATTTTTTGGTAATATTCAGTACACTTTTGAAGTACATCAAATATTAAAAAATTCCGAATATATATGGGGCGTTCCACGCTAAATCGTAAATTATTTTGCTTTTGTATCTTAAATTTTTTTCAAATATTCTTTTTCTTTTAGTTCTCCTTGGTAGTTTATTTCAACGACCACTAAAAGAAAAAAAATTATTTGAAAAAAATTTTGAGATGAAAAAGCAAAATAATATCCGATTTGGCGAAGATCGCCCCATATTCTCTATAAATTATAAATAATAAATTTTCTTTGCTACAGCTTTTTTTTACCATATAGTTTGTAAATTTGTATTTAAAAAGAGAATTAATTTGGATTCAGATTTTGAAAAAGTCTACCTTGGTTCCACTTTTATCTCATATTGTTTGTTTGAAGGAAATTTTGATTTTTTAAAAACAAATAAGATATTTTTTAAACGGCATATTATTTGAAATTGTGAACCGTGAAGTTGCAGAGAGTCATTTCTTTGAAAAAATAAAAAATATCACATTACAATCGAACAATTTTTTTTCATAAATTCTATATAAAGTATTTATGCCAAAAAATTGATTATATGTATATTATATTGAAATGGTATAAAAACTTTTTAAAGTTAAAATTTACATAACTAGTCTTCCGAACTTTTAGTTGCAAAACTCAGTTGAAATAATTCTTTGAATTTCGACTATTTTTCAATGTTTGTCGCAAAAGTTCACTGAACATTACATGACAGTTTAAAAACTCGTAAATTCTCATGCAATGCTTAGTTAACTTTTACCTCATACATTGAATAACAGCGGATATTTAAAAGACAACTTCAAGTTTAATGAGCTTCGCAACTAAAAATTCCGAAGATTGCATTCATGTAAATTTCAGAAATTCATATATTAATTATTTTATTACAGTCTCAATTTTTTTAAATGAACGTCCTTACTTTTAAATTTCATTTTATGATTGATAAATATTTCGTTAAATTAAAGAACAAAAGTTTTGTTTTAAAGAAAAAAGCAAGTAAACTAATTTTTTCGTTTGGACCCCATGGAAATAAGTATTACTTTTTATTACACTTTACAAAATAGATATTATAAAAATTGTGTAAATATTATTGATAGAAATTTTATTATTATATGTTATGTTTGTTATAAAGAAAGAAAATAGAGGTTTTTTTAAACAAAAAACCTCTAATATATAGTAAAATACATTTTTACTTAAAAGTCATTATAACCTGAACCACTACGGTAAAAGCCACCACGATAATTTCCACGGCGATAATAATTTCCTCGATAAATAAAACCACGATGGTTGCCACCTCGATGAGCTCCACGACCGACACCCCGATAATTATTACCGCGTTGATTTAAACCACGATGCCTGAAACCCCGTTGACGGACACCGTGTTGAATGCGGGAACGATGACTTCCGTTGAGGCCTCGACGATTTCCTCTTTGGTGTATAGGAGATCTGAAAGAATGAGTATTTAAATAGATATTAGACAGGCTTCGTCCATAAATTACGTCACACGTTTTTAGCCCATTTTTGACCCCCTCCCCCCCTTTGTCACACTACGTAACATCTGAAGGAACCCCCTCCCTATAAATTACGTCACAATTCGTAAACCCCCCTTTAATAAATTTTTCCAAAATGAATCACTGTCAATATCTAATTTTACATAAATAAAGTGGATTTCTTACGAATAAGGGGGACCTCCAATTTCAATAAAAATTGGTATAAGAACGTATTTTGATGCGTTGATTACGAAAATGATAATGAAAATTGGCGCAAATTTGATGTTCATGGTGAAAACTATAAAAAAAACCATAAAATTGTGGTTTTTTGCATATAATTCGTTGGATTGGATTAATCATATTTTTTTGTGTTTAAAAATATTTGTAAATTTTTTTTGTTTTTATATGGAGGAAGAAGGAGTCATTCACGTTCAGTTGGAATTTTTTTTTTTATCAAAATTTTATTGATTGCAGAGATAATTGTGATATTTTTTGTTATCTATTCAATTCTGAAAAACCCAAGGTGGATAACTCCTTCCTCCTCCATAATTTTTTGTGTTTAAAAATATTTTTAAATTTTTTTTCTGCTTTTATTTCGAGGAGGAAGGAGGCATCCACCTTGGATTTTTCAGAATATAAAAGCAGAGAAAAATTTACAAATATTTTTAAACACAAAAAATTATGATTAATCCAATCCAACGAGTTAAACGCAAGAAAACCCCAATTTTATGGTTTTTTATGCTTTTCACCATGACCATAAAATTTGCTCCAATTTTCATTATCATTTTCGTAATCAGCGCATCAAAATACGTTGGTATACCAAGTTTTATTAAAATCAGAGGTCCCCCTTATTCGGAAGTACACCCAATAAAGTTACTTATATAATTAGTACATTTTTTAATATTTTAAAAATAAGAAATATGTTTAATATTTTTATTTATTAAAATTTTCTCATTATAATAAATAGAGTATAAAGTGTGACATAACTAAATAAAAGGTCCCCACCCCCCCTTTGTCACAATTAGTCACATTTTCATAGACCCCCTCCCCCCCTAAAAAGTGTGACGTAATTTATGGACGAAGCCACACTAAAAGTAACATTGAAATGAAAATTACATCTTATATATGTAATTTTTTAGACAATTTTGAATTTTATTTTCTGTCTATTAATGAATTCTTTATTATTTGCATTAAAAACTTTTAAATCATTATGACTTTTCCACCAGCTGTAATTATTTCCGGAAATTTTAAGGGAGCGAAATTTAGATAGGTAGATACTACCGGTAATGACTACAGGATTTTTTTATCGGTAATAATCCAAAAAATAACTCCCGATACTTTTTCCGATTACACGGATTTTCGATTATTCGAACAAGTGCCTGCATCCATTAGTCCGAATAATGGAGTCTCTACTGCAATTGAATTTTTAATATATTGACAAACATTCGAATAATTTTTTTTTAATTTGCTTGATTTATTTATTTCTTAAAATTAATTAATTAGGTAATAATAACAATTTGTTATACCTGTAAGTTTGTTGATTACTATTGCCTCTGGCTGTATATGCAGTCATTGCTGCTGTTACAGCAGTTTCCACAACAGAATATATATCCTAAAAAAAAATTTGTATTATTCACTTCAAATAATTTCTTAAGGGCATTTGAACCATTATGACGACACAGTTTTAAAACTCAAGCTTTGCACAAACTGTGACGTCATAATGGTTCACATGCCCATAAATTATATATGTTTAAAAAACTTTTTAAATACAAAGAGTAAATTTTGCTCTACAAAGTCATATAATCGCTAAGGTAAACAAATTTAAATTATAAACAATAACAATTGCATTTATATGTTAATTTTAAAGGTTTCACATCAAATATATTTTTTATGATTTAGATTTGTCGTGATGCAAACATTTTTACTTTATTACAGGGTACATTCACTAGTAGTCGGACACTCAAGGATAAGATTTTATATATTATACTCTATATTTCTTGAAATAACAAATTTCCACTATTTTTTAAGCATATTATCAATTAAAAAAGTTTTTCAATATTAAAAATCATGTAAACTTGTTAAAAATACTTCAGTGTTTCATAAAATATAAGCATTTTAATGAAAAATTAGTAAGTCTTCATTACATGGACACTTTTTTCTACATTTTTTAATCCGTCAGAGGTTTTAAGTTTATAAAGTAAAAAAGATAATCGTTAATTAGCTTTATATAGGAAAATTGAACTTAGCTATGATTTTAAAAATAATTAATAAAATATTTCTTGTTTGATTCTAATGTAAAATAACACTATTTTTAAAAAATATAAATTTCACACATTCGTCCAGTTAATTCTTGGAAACAATTATCGCAGTATATTAATTTTTTATTTGACAAAAACACAAAAGTGTCCGACTATACCTGCATTTACATATACCTATTTTTATTTCTGATCTAATGAATTTTTTAGCAAAAAATTGGTTACTTAAAAATATATAATAAAGTTATTTTTTTTTAATCGTTTTGAAAAATTTTTTAGTCTATTTTCATATATTAAGGATAAATATTTTACCAATTTTTACTATTTATTAAAATTCATTATTGTGTTTACACTAAAAGGGGATTCACACATAAATACATCTACTAATGCGAAGAGGAACTCGTACATAAAATTTCTAAACAGAAGTAAACTTGTTTCAAGAATTTTCAGAACTATTAAAAAAAAAATTCAAACACTTACGCAGATTATAACTTACATTTCGTAGTTTGGGAGGAATTTCTGCAACTTCATTACTTTCACTGTTTACCGCTTTATTAATAACCTCACGGTTAGAGGATTGACTGCGAGGACGTCCACGAGGACGACCGCGTGCACGGCCGCGCAAAGGCTTTGGAGAAGATTGTTCATTACTGTCGACATCAGCTTGCATAGGCACTTGCTGTGTATTATTAACACCTCCTATAAAAAATATATACACAAAATGAACAATAATAATCGCAATTTACAAATATTTACTTTGTTTACCTCTTGTCTTTGGAGCCATTTTGTTTTCTTTGCAAAACAGTATCTTCGAATAAAGAATTTTAGCAGGGCTGGACAAATAATATACTTATTTTTTAGGGTGCATTTACACTTCAGTTCGTAGGGTTGGTAGTATCAAAAAATGTCGAGATCGCGTGTTTTTACAATGAATTGCAAATGCATTTGTTATGTCTAATTAGCATCAAATAATTTAAAAGGATAATAGTTAACACAATGCGCACACATCCCAGTCTAAACATCTTGCAGTTACGGTCAGGGTTGGGCGCGTAAAATACCTCAGGTAAATTACATGGATTTTTACAGAAAAAAAAACCTCGTATTTTACTTCAAAAGTTTCATACACAATGTATTTTTTGGGGGAGGGGGGTAAAATACGTATTTTACCTATGTAAAAAACCAAGTATTTTACGTCAAAAACCTCGAGTGACGCGTCACTTCCCAACACTGGTTACGGTGCAGTCCCATGCTGGTAGAATTATGGAATAGTGTAATTGATTTGACCAATCAGAATAAGTGTTTAAAAAAATCAAATCCTTTGATTGGTCAAAGCTGTTCCACTATTTTACTATTCTACCACCATGCGACTGCACTCTCAGGCCGCAGTCCCATGGCAGCGTTTTGCGTTGCGTTGTAATGAGAGAGAATGCAGCAAACGTATATTTGCGTCTTTTTCTTTCCCATTACGACGCAACGCAAAACGCTGTTTCACGCCATCATGGGACGGTACCTTTATGGTGCGATCCCATGTGAGCAGAATACGTCGACCAAAACAGAAAAACATGAGAGTGAAAAGAACAACAATATCTGCCTATCTATTTTGAACTCATGATTTTCTGCTTTCGGTCGACGTATTCTGCTCACACGGAATCGCACCCTCATGCTGATTCTACACTCACTGAGTCGTCCCGACTTTCCGGAACGACTAGCATGAGAAGGACAAAGACAGCGACAGTTTCCGTCTTTGTCTATCTCATGCAATTCGTTCCGGAAAGTCAGGGCGACTCAGTGAGTGTAGAATCAGCATTAAGGAGAGTCCAGAATAGAGTCGAGACGTCGGTATGAACGCGCTTATACTGACGCGCATAGGAGGAGCGCGTTAATATCAACGCGTTCGACTCTATTCTGGACTCTCCTTTACTTTTTCAGGAGACAAAGGACAAACCATTTCACAAGTCTGAAAAATAATAAGAATATAAGATGAGTCGAGGAAATCCAAAAAATAATAAAGGTATTTAAAAACTTATAACAAACATAATATTTATAAAATCATTTCTAAAACATATTTAAAACAAAAAATGGTTTTTCTAAAGATTTGAATGCATTCGATGTTCTGATGCGGAAGCATCGCCAAAGAGCAGAACGCCATGAGGAGGAGGAGATGCAAGTGCAAGAACAGAGAGAGAGAACAGTAGTAAGTATTAAAGATTCCGTATGTTTAATATTTAACTTTTTTAACAAAGAAATTTTTTTTTATTTCCTCTTTCCTTTAACCCTTTCAGTGTCCTGCGCCTTTGACAAAAAATCTTATTTCTATTTAATAGATTGGCTTAAAAGTTGTTACTCGGGTATTTACAGAGATACGAAGTATTAATCCAGTGCAAGTTTTCCAAAATTTAAAATTAACGAAGTAATAAATTTAAGTAAATTTATTTTTATGTAAACAATTTTATTCATTCCTAACACGCGTGATTTTTTTTGTATTTTGACCTGCTTAAATTCATATTTAAAAAATTATTTTTTAGAACTTGGAATCAGTAATTGAAGCGGCTATTACTGTGGTAGACAGGCTGAGGCGACGCAGAGTTCATCCGTACTATCGACCGCCGAGAAATATAAATCAAAACGATCGTCATCGTCGTTTCCAGGAGAATCAACATCTCCGTGATGAACGAAATAACCAGCACGATCGTCGATTCCAGGAAAATCAACATCTCCGTGATGAACGAAATAACCAGCACGATCGTCGTTTCCATGACGATCGTCATTCATATTATAGGAATAATGAGCGTTTCAATAATCAACGACGATATGACCAACAACGATCCAATGATCGCCAAATAAACGAAAATCGACAAGACGATTGTTTAAGAGACAACAATCGTATTGTCAATTTTCGTTTCAGAGACAATCATCTCCAAAACAATAATCGAAGCGATGAAGAGGACCATCGTAGAAATAATTTGCGTCGTCGAAATGATTTGCGCTATAGAAGTGATGGCCAGAATGAAAATAATAGAAAATTCAGACGCTAAATTCTTTAATCAACGTTTTTTTGTGGCAATTGTCAACATTATTATTATTATTATTATTCATTTAAAAAAAATGATTGTGAACTTTAAAACTTTTTATTAAAATTATAAATACATATAGCTTAAAAAGCAATTGATATTGTTTAAAATTTTTTGTATTTTCGCTTATAATTTTAAAATAAATGTAGATTCAAATTATTTCGCTCTGGTTTTATTAATTTTTTGATTTGTCTACAAAATATAATAACAGAAACTTATATAATTTTGTAAAAGTTGCAATTTGACGGTCTATAGGTACAAGAATAATGCAAAGAAATTAATTCGAGTAATAATGTGCAGAGAGCATAAGTAGCTTAATCCCCGTAAAAGCAATTAATTATCATTATTTACTGTCATTAGTTTTATTCGATATTTAATAACTGAACGCAACTTTTATATGTATTGTTTTGGTGGATTCGATAAACGAAAATTAAAAAATTCTTTGGGATATATAATTATTCTTTTCTAAAATGCAATTAATACAATAGTCAATATAAATTATTGATTATGTAGTTAATTATTAATATTTTATTTACATTAATGTCTATAATATAACAAATGTGCATTGATTTATGTCTCATATCGTAAATAATTTGAATTATTTATTTATTAATTTATCTCAAAAGTTTTTATTGTTAATTTCGTTTTATTCTTTACGTTTATACTTCTTTTCCAAAAAATAAATGGACCTAGCTGAATTTATTCTTAGTCCATCAAATCCGCATGGGAATTCAATGTTATTTGACTTGCAAATGTTTTTTGACAACTGTGTTAATTTTTTTTATTTATTTTAGCCTTATTGGTAAGAAAAGGCTTGTGATGGTGGTTAAAATAAATTAAAATAAATTCTCTCATCGAAGTATGATTTATTGGGTAATAATCCTCTTTAAATTTATTTTTTTTACATAATTTTCCTCAAAACTTATAATTTTTTTTATTTTTTTCAAGTGATTCTGATCCCAGGTGAAAATGATTCGTAAGAAATTCGTTCGGAATTTTTCCAGAATTCGGGTTGAATTCCGATAGAAATTCCTGTGGCGTTTTGGAACGTAATTTGGACGAATTCCAGGCAGAAAAAAGGATAAAAAATTGATAAAAATAAAATTCCACACAGAAATCCGAACGGAATTTAGGCCGTAAAATCTATAGGAAATCTTTGGTAATTATTCCGCTCGAAATCTGGTCGCAATTCCGCACGAAATAATTTCTAAAATTTTTTTAAAGATAATATCTGTCCACTCTTCTGAACGAATTCTGCACGAAATTCGAGCGAATTCTAGACGTTTTTTCCAAAATTTTTTTTTAAAATTCTGCTCGAAATCGGGTCGCAATTCCGGATGAATTAATTGCAAAAAATTTTCGCAAAATCGCAATTTTCACAAAAAATCTCTAACTTTAAAGAATTATATTTTTAATATTTACACTATTAAATTGGTTATATCTTATCCTATTTGACTCTATATTTATTGAACTTTAAAATGATCCTACTTTGATAGATCTTACATCTATTTTTACAGAAATATTTGAATTTTAAATGAAGCGAGCACTTAACAGTAATCAGTACAAATGTACTGAAACTTTTTGACCCCAGTGTAGGTAATTTTAATTAAAATTCCTGACTTTTCCCTGATTTCCCTTAACAATTCTAATTTCCTTGACTTCCTTGACTTGTGGCAACCCTGACACTTTAACACATTTTTTCCGCTAAAAGTACCTTAGATAAAAATTTTCTTTTAAGGGGACATTCCAGTTCAAAACAGGCAAAAAGAAGGCTTTTTTAGTATATATTATTAAAATAATTATGACATTTATTTAAAAAATTTCTTTTACATGTAATAAATAATTTATTTAAGAATTTGTAAAAATTTTTTTTTATTATTTTTATTTCAAAATGGCGGCGATATACGCCATTTTCGGTGGTAAGATAGATTCCAAACTTTCTAAAACAGATAAAACCAAAAACGAAGTGACATTCTCTTCGTTGGATAATTCTTTAGGTGTGGAACCTCAAAAAAGTGGAATTTTCTTTCCCCCCTTTTTTTTAGAGTACTTTTTCCCAAAAATAATCAAAAAAAAGGTGTTTTTATTCAGAATTTCTATTATAAAAAGAAGAAGAGTTGGAAATTTTCCTGTTTTTTTGAGGTTCCACTTATAGGCATGATGACGCTGAATCAAAAGCCGTTTGATTTTTTAAAATCGCTTCAGAAGAACTCGAGATATCACTCTTACCAGATCAAAAAAAGACATTTTGAGAAAAATGCATTTAAAGATTTGTTCATAAGTTTCGAAATTTGTTTTAAAAAATCGTCGGATTTGCTTGAAAATCTTTACTCGGGGGTTTTTGAGGTCGCTAATTACGAATATGGAATCAGATTTTTAAAATTCAAAATGGCGGATCCAATATAGCGGACATTTTTTTTTCAAAATCATTGGATTTGCTTGAAAATCGTTAAGGGGGGTTTTTGGGGTCGCTGATTACGAATATGACATCATTTTTTCATAATTAAAAATGGCGGATGCAATATAGTGGACGAAAAAAAAATTAAAATTAAAAAATTGCCTTTTTCGCCATATTGGATCCGCCATTTTTAATTTTGAAAATTTGATATCTAATTTGTGATCAGCAACAACAGCAACAACATTTTTGTTTGGCTTTTTTAAAAAATGCAAATGAGAAAACATTTAAATCATTCAATTGCTTATCCGCATACAAAAACATCTTTGACATGGCGAAGAATAAGGATATATAACTTTTGTTTTACTTCGAATTTTGTAATAATATTTTAGGAGAGTATTCTTGACACTATAAGAAATCCGAAAATAAAAACAAAAAAATCGATTTTTTTACATTTTGAACTGGAACGTCTCCTTAAAGAATACATCAATGAATATGTAATAATGCAAAAAATACAAAAAAGTGAAATTTGAAAAAAGATCCGTGTTGAGCCCTTTTCGAAATTCCCTATTCAATTATTTACAGAAAATTAGTTAACCTTTAAAACAGAAGTTGAAGCAATTTTATTTGTAAATATTTAATAACCAGCGTTCTAAGCCGTCTATTAAAAATTGAACTAATGTTCAATTGTTTGGGTGTCTATTAAGGGTTTTCGGACCATTAAGACGCCACAGATTTTAACAGAACATTTATTTTATGACTGTGATGTCATAATAGTTCAAATTCCCTTAATGGATAATAAAAATTTGACAATTTATTAAATTGTTAACGCAATTTATTTTTCTTTTTTCACATACTAGGCTCTGTGATGAGTATCACCGCGATAACTACCGCGATGACTACAATGATATCTGCCGCCGCGATAACTAGGTACTACGATAACTACAACGGTAATTACCACGATAGCTACCGCGATAACTGCCTCTACGACGAATGAATCCCCGTTTGGGACGATTGTTATTTACGCCACGACGACTTCCACCTTGACTGTTATCACTGGATCTGTAATTGTTAGAAAAAAATTATTACAATTAGAAATATTAAAAAAATTAGAAATGCTTATGTGTAAATTTGTGAGATACCTGTTGTTTTGGTGAATATTTTGCCCTTCAGTTTTAAATTCCGTCATTGTGGCGGCAACTGCGGACTCTACGACAGTATAAATATCCTGGAAAAATTAATAATGAAACTTTTTAAAGTATATATACAACAATTATTAATTATGTGAAAACATTACCTTACAATTTTTTCGTCCTTGTCCGAGATGAAACAATTTTCTATGCGAATTACAATATTTGTTACTGCTCCTTTCTTTTCTCCTTTACATTTTTACATTTTGCAATAGAACATCTGTAAAGAAATATTAAAGATGAATTTAGGGATGTGGGATTAACAAAGAATATATAATATATTTTAAACTCCTCTCAAGTACTATTTTTGTAAATTAAATGAAATGCAAAAAAAATAAGAATACAAATTATCAAGATTCGCAGTAGAAAATCGCTGTCAAATTTATAAAGCAAAAATCGCGAATATACATTCTCGAAATATCGGCTGTTTTTCGATAAAATCGAATAACTCGTATAAATCTTGACCGATTTGGATCATTCTTTTTTTGTTGGATAAAAAACAAAAAAGAAAGAATTCTGTTAGATTTATTCAATATTTTTGATACTTTTATACAATTTAAGCTAAGAAAATTGTAAAATAGCGATTTCTTGAGATTTAGACAAATTTGGAGCGTTAACTCCTAAATGGAATTCTAAAATATTCTAGAATATTATTAATAAGGTTAAAATCTCGATATACATTCCAAAAAATCTTAATACACATTGTATTTTTTGAAAAATTTTGATTTTTCTCAAAAAAATTGAATTTTTTGACATTTAGACAAACGCAGAGAGCAAACTTCTAAACGAATATGTAAAATATTCTAGAATATTATTGATTGTGTTAGAATATCAATATTTTTGCAGGAAATTTTAATACACTTCGTATTTTTGGAAAAATTTTGATTTTTCTCAAAGAAATTAAATTTTTTGACATTTAGACAAACGTACAGACTAAACTTCTAAACGGTTATGTGAAATATTCTAGAATGTTATTGATTAGGTTAAAATCTCCATATATATTACTGAAAATTTTAATACAGTTTTAAGATCTTGGCGTGAATTATTTCATTAATTAAAAATTAGAAACATTATTGACGTCAAGACCTTAAATCGGCTTCAAATAGAATATTTTTAAGACGAATAATTGTATTTTATTAGCTGATCATTTTATTCATTAAATTAAATTTTATATTTGTTATAACAGGGTGCCCACCATATCTTCGTTACAAAATTCCCTGACTTTCCCTGACCGAGCAAAATTTTTCCTGACTTTTTAAAACTGTCATATGGCGATTAATTAATAAAATAAGGTTAAAAATTTATTGTACAAGTTTACAATAATTTCAAGAAAGAAAAAATTTTAAATTTAGTAATAACATAGCAAAATCTCAACAAAAAAATTATGTCAACAAAAAATGCTACTCTTGATGACATTTATTATTTTCGCCTTTCGAAAACCCAGTGGGCACCGAGACATGGGTCGTCTTTAAGGCGTCCTTAGGACAACTTTAGGAGGTCTATACCCGTTCAAAGGACGTCCAAACGATATCTTACATCTTAAAGACATCCTTAGGACATAAGATGTCTTTGGATGTCTTTCGAACGGACATAGACGTCTTAAGGTTATCCTAACAGTGTCCACAGGGAATATTTTCAGAAATTATAATTTTAAAACTTTAAATTTTATAATCTATTTAAATTATTGTAAACTCAAGAATTCCAAAATCCAATTATTTTTCAATTTTTAAGTAACATTATTCTCTAAATACTTTATAAATATTAATTTCATGAAACTTATTTAAGATTAAAAGTACTTACAATAAAATTATTTTCTTATTTGTGAAAATTAATTTTATTGTCAGAAATGGAGAAAGTTTTAAATTTAGTATTAATTTTTGAAGTGATTTTAAAGTTTATAAGCAGAATATGGAAAATTTAAGAAGAATTAAATGTTTTTAATATTTTCAATGATTTCAAGACACCAAGAATCAGAACTTTTTCTTTAATTCTAAGAAGAATAGTTTAATACTTTTTCCAATATTTTTGATAAAATTCTCTGGTTTTTCTCGGATTTTCTCAATTAATTATAGTTTTCCTAATTTTTTTACTGAATTCTCGTATTTTTACATGTATATTTTATACAAATCCCCTGACTTTTCCGTGACTTTCTGCAACTTTTTAAATTTCCTGACTTTCCCTGACTAGTGGACACCTTGTTATAATTCAATACAAAAACTTTAGTTATAAATTTTATTTGGTAAACTTTTATTTCACTAATCATTTGGACATTTGCAAATTTTTTACTTGGAAGAAATTTTTTCATCCAAGATGTTTTTATTGGAATATATACTAACCGGAAAGATATAAAATCTGATGCAATTATTTCACATTTGCTTGCAAGTAAATATTTCATTCCTCCAGGCCAAAACTTCATCAATTCCAATGGAACACTTTAATTCGCAACTGATTTTCTGAAAAAAAAACAATACAATAGAAAAATACCTTTTAAAGTTTATTTTGGAAATATAAAGTAATTAATTACTACATAAGTTGGACATTCTAAACAATCAACATTTATGAAAGAAATCTATAATTTTATTGCACATAAATAAATAATACCTAAAATAATTTATCACGAGCGAAAGATAAATATAAATTTACAGGGTGTCCAGCTACCTTATAAACCTTGAAAACACCTTGAATTTTATGACAAAACCTTGAAAAATTAAACTTCTTAAAAATGAGATTTATTTCCTTGATGTTTTAAGTTAAATTCTCGTCAATATTCCAATTATCTTTATAAATATAAAAATTCTTCGCCGAAATTCAATTATATTCAAGAAGTTTAATAAAATTCAATGCAAAATACAATTATTTTCATAAAATAACAACATTCATCATAGGAATTCAATTAGGGGTCGTCCATATACCACGTGGACATTTTTTAGGCACTTTTTGACCCCCCCCTCCCCCCTCGTGGACAATCGTGGATTTTTGACGACCCCCCCCCCCCCCTCCCCCTGATTGTCCACGTGGACAATCGGGTTTTTTTATTTTTAAATAGTGAATAATAAACAGATATTTAATAAGAAATACAATTAAAAAATTTTTTTATTTATTTATAACAAATTTCTTTAAAATTGAATAAAGATTAAATTATCTTAAATGTTATTAACCCTTTCACGCCCATGGGACATATACGTCCCACCTACAAAAACCTCAATATCTTCGACAAAAATTAATATTTTTGAGTCAAATTTAGTGCGTTCTTTTCTGGAAGAATAGGCCTTTAAAAACATGTTACCTAGATCATGTTAAAAAATTCCTATTGTTTAAAAAAATTCATAAATTATTGTTAAAAATCACGAATTTTTTGAACATTTTAAAATCGACTGAAAATTGTTACTCAGGGGTTTTTGGGGTCGCTGATTACGAATATGACATCATTTTTTAAAATTTTAAAATGGCGGATCCAATATGGCGGTCAAAATTCAAATTTGATCAGATTCGCATGAAACTTGTTACTCGGGGGGTTTTTGGGTTCGCTGATGACGAATCTGACGTTAGTTTTTAAAAATTCGAAATTAGTCTATTTTTAAATTTAGATTGTCAGCAACTCAGTTTTTATCTAAATGATCTTAGATTTCTAAAAAGCATTAACTCTTGAAAGTAAGTATCAAGCAAATCTAAATTAATTTTGAAAAATCTCATCAACCATATTTGCAAACGCCATTCTGAATTTTAAAAAACTATTACCGAATTTGTAATCAGTGACCTGGCCATTTTGAATTTCTAAAAACTAATATCAGATTCGTCATCCACGATCTGGGTGTAAAAGGGTTAAATAGATAAATACCATTTTTAGTATTATAGACAGGACTTTGGCTGCAATACATTGCCGCGAAATTTGAAAGTTGAATAAAAAGAAAAAAAGATATAAAATTAAACTTCTGTGTCCACGTGGACATTTGTATTGACCCACCCTCCCCCCTCGTGGACAATCGTGGAATTTTGGCGAACCCCCCCTCCCCCCTAAACTGTCCACGTGGTATATGGACGACCCCTTATTTAAAAAATTAATTAAATTCTTCGCAGAAATTCAATTATTTTTAAGTAATTAAAGAAAAATTGTGGTCATCTTAATTATCTTTATAAATAAATAATAATAATCTTCGACAAAGTTCAATTATTTTAAGAAATTTTAATAAAATTCATTGCAAAATTCAATTATTTTCATAAATAATATTATTCATCACAAGAATTCAAATATTTTCAAAAACTTTAATAAAAATCATGGCAAAATATTCAATTTCATTATTTCAAAAAATTTTCTCACTTCTATGGTTTTCAATATTCTACTATTATAATAAAATATCCTAAAAGAATTTAATTATTAAACAAAAGTTTTTAAAAAATTCCACACAAGCATTCAATCATTTAAATTAAAATTTGCATAAATTTTTTCGCAAAAAACAATTGTTTTAAATTTTAGCATTAAATTCTTCGCAGTAATTCAATTAGTTTCAAAAGTAATATAATTTAATTATTTTCTAAAATTTTTAAAAAATTTATTGCAAAATTTCAATTATTTTCAAAAAAATTTTTAATTTAATAATTTGTATATCAATAATTTTAATAGAAATTCCCAAATGAATTACATTGTTTAAAAACAATTTTAATTGATTTTTTAATATTTCTAATATTTTATGAATAACTATTGTATGTAGAAATTATAAAATTGTTTATATTAATAATCTCTAAATTTGAATTAGTAAAAATGTTTACTAATTTGAATCCGTGACTTAGTAAAATTTACTAATTCAAAAGCAAAATGTCAGTTATTAAATCTAATTAGTAATCATTTTTACTACTTCAAATTTAGAGAGTAAATCAAAATTTACTTGAAATACACTTATTAGTTTATTAGATAACTAATAAACAGATCTTACTCAATTTTCACTAGATTATAAATAACAAATGTTTTAAAATGAACCTTGAAAAAAGTTATTGTAGACCATAAAAACCATGAAAAGTCCTTGCATTTTTTTTAAAGAATCGCTGGACACCCTGATTTAAGAATAAAGTGGAAATCTGAAAATCCAGAAAGCACTAGTAAAAGCTTCTATTAACAATTTTTTATTTTGATCACAATAGTCCGGGAGCTAGCGACCAAAACAACTATCTCATTTCATACCGGCTGAAAATTTGAGTATAGATTACTGAAGACATGTAATTAACAGAAACCCACGTCTGGCAGGCCGGCGCTGGGGCAGGGGGCGGCGGCGGGGGGACGAATAGGTGAAAAGTAATGTAAAATTTTCTCATTTCATACCGATTAAAACCTTTAGAAATCGAAAGTTTACATTCAAACAAGTGTAAAAATGTGCGTCTGGCAGTTCTGGGGTGGGGCGAAGTACGTTTGGCAGCCCTTTGAAAATGCAGCAAATGGGTCAATAGGTGAAAAATAATGTAAAATTTTCTCATTTCATACCGCTTAAAACCTTCATAACTCGAAAGTTTACATCCACACGAGTCTAAAAATGTGCGTCTGGCAGTTCTGGGGTGGGGCAAAGTACGTCTGGCAAAGGGTTAAACACGTAAAAAATCGAATTTTTTTCTCATTTCATACCGATTAAAACCCTTATAAATCGAAAGTTTATATACAAACAACTGTGAAAATACCCATCTGGCAGTTTTGGGGTGGGGCAAAGTACGTCTGGCAAAGGGTTAATCACATAAAGAATCATAAAATCTAATCTCATTTTATACCGATTGAAACCATCATATATCGAAATTTTACATTTAAACAAATGTAAAAATCTACATCTTTAAAAGGCCGCCAGACGTACTTTGCCCCACCCCAAAACTGTCAGATGGGTATTTTCACAGTTGTTTGTATATAAACTTTCAATTTATATAGGTTTTAATCGTTATGAAATGAGAAAAAAATTTCGATTTTTTACGTGTTTAACCCTTTGCCAGACGAACTTTGCCCTACCCCGGAACTGCCAGACGTACATTTTTACACTCGTACAGATGTAAACTTTCGAGTTATGATGGTTTTAATCGGTATGAAATGAGAAATATTTACATTATTTTTCACCTATTGACCCATTTGCTGCATTTTCAAAGGGCTGTCAGACGTACTTCGCCCCACCCCAGAACTGCCAGACGTGTATTTTTACACTTGTTTGAATGTAAACTTTCGATTTCTAAAGGTTTTAATCGGTATGAAATCAGAAAAAATTTTCGATTTTTTTTCGTGTTTAACCCTTTGCCAGACGTACTTTGCCCCACCCCAGAACTGCCAGACGCACATTTTTACACTCGTGTGGGTGTAAACTTTCGAGTTGAGAAGATTTTAATCGGTATGAAATGAGAAAATTTTACATTATTTTTCACCTATTCGCCCCCTGCCCCAGCGCCGGCCTGCCAGATGTGGGTTTCTGTTATTTACATGTCTTCAGTAATCTATACTCAAATTTTCAGCCGGTATGAAATGAGAAGTTGTTTTGGTCGCTAGCTCCCAGACTACAAGGATAATTTACACCTGTAATCGCGAACTCTAGACTTTTTCAAATTTGTAATAACGATCGGAAATAAAAATAAATTTACTTGAAATTCTAAAAGCACGTCACTTTAAATTTGTTTACGATTCGATACACTTTTTTAAAACTGAATAAGAATTTTTCGTTAATAAATAATTTAGGTCTAAAGTAAAAATAATGTTACATTACCTTGTTAAAGGAAGCACCTTTATTTTGATGAATGGAATGTTTTGGCAATTCCAAATTTCCTGCTATCTTTTCCACAATTCTATCTTGATGAATTTTTTCTACATTTAATGTCATCTTTCTTAATTAATCCAATCTCAACATTTAAAGAAACCTATAAAAGTAATAAACGTTTCATTAAAAATAAAAATCTTTTATTTAAAGCATTAATAATCTAGAGAAAAATTTGTTACCTCAAATTCTAAATTGTAGATTAGGTTCTGATTGAAAATTTTTTATTTACCAAAGCTGATCAGTCTGTATGATTATGCTAAATTTTTAGAATAAATTAATGACACTCATTTAGAGTTGATTATTTTAATAAATTTCGAATTTGAATTTTTACATTTTTAATACAAAGTATTGATTTTTTTCAGAAAATAGTTATAAATTTTAAGAAACTTAAATTTCTTCCAATTTGTCTACATTGAAAAATAAGAAAAATTGCTTTCATTAAAGTTACTTTTAATGTGTACAATGATGTATTAATAACTTTCTTATGTGATTAAAAATTGATTATGCGGACATAGAATAATAAAAAAAAGAAACCAAGATGGTTTTTTCCAATTTTTATAAGCGTAGAATCTATAGTGACAATTTAAATTATAATTATGAACAGTAGTACCTAGTGATTTTTTTCGAGTTATTCTTCTCTAGATCCATAGTTTTCTGCGACAACAGGGGCACCTCTAGTAGGATATACTATGGTCTTAGTTGACTAGAAGCTATGTTTTGCGCTATAATCAACTCTGAATGTAAAACATCCTTACCCCCCAAAAAAAAAAAAAAAAAATTGTTATTAACATCTCATAAGCTACTTCAAAAATATTAAATAATAAAAAATAAAACAATTTAATAACTTATTATTGAAAGTAAAGTTTACAAAATTTAATTGTTAAAATGAGCCGAATACTTTTTTATTAGTGAAATTTTAAACATTTTATAACCAAATGGACCTTATAATTTAATGTAGAATTAATCATTCCACTGATGAAGAAATTTTATATATTTAAATTAAGATAGAAAGTATTATTCATTCATTTGATCAATAAATAATTTGTAATTAGTATTACCAATCAGTTTCAAATCCAATCAATTAAGATAATATTTCATTGATTCATCCAACCACCGAAGGTAAGATGTGAAGGTAAGATGTTCATGAGTTCGTAGTACGCCTAATCCAACCACTGAAGGTAAGATTTGTTGTAAGTCCAATCGATTAAGATAAGACTTGATTGTTTTATCCAACCACCGAGTGTAAGATCTGATGGTTATCGAGTTCATGAGTTTGTAGTATAGCTAATCCAACCACTGAATGTAAGATTTGCTTTAGTCCAATCAATTAAGATAAGATTTCATTGATTTATCCAACCACCGAAGGTAAGATCTGATGTTTATCTAGTTCATGAGTTTGTAGTGCGGCTAATCCAACCACTAAAGGTAAGAAGTATTTTCATTCAATACAATGGGGTCCAACAAAGCAAAATCATTCATTAAAGTTTAAAAGTAATGTAAGTCCAATCTATTAAGATAAGATTTCATTGATTTATCCAACCACCGAAGGTAAGATCTGATGTTTATCCAGTTTAAGAGTTTGAAGGACGGCTAATCCAACCACTGAAGGTAAGAAATATTTTTATTCAATACAATAGGGTCCAACGAAGCAAAATCATTCATTAAAGTTTAAAAGTAATGTAAGTCCAATCAATTAAGATAAGATTTCATTGATTCATCCAACCACCGAAGGTAAGATCTGATGTTTATCCAGTTCATGACTTCTGTAGTGTAGGTTATTCAACCACTTAAGATAAGATAAGTTTCATGTAAATTTAATGTTAAACGGCATGTACCAATTCTGTTATGAGATTGTCCAGGATGTAAAGGCATAACGGTGCGTTGTTAATATTAATAATGTTTAATTACCTAACTTTGCTTTCCTTAAAAAAATATCTGAAGTACCTGTTATGGTATGTGCTAAGTTTCTCCATGTAACATAGCTGGTCAATAAGTTGTTAATTATTGCTCTAGGGTAATAATCAATACTTTATTAACCTGCGGGCGGTCAATAAACTTTAATAATTAATAAACAATGTTGTATTTTGTCTAAATAAAAAAATTTTAGTTTTAAAACGTACAAATTTAAATTTTTTTTTGATTCCTGAAAAAGCTGAAAATGAAGAAGGTTAATTTCTATTTGCATTGCTTATGTTAAAAAAGTATTTTTTAAGTAATTATCAACTTGGATATATTAAATGTTTATATTATAAAAAAATTGTATTATTATAATATACTACCTATCCAAAAATGTAGTTGGGAGTTTTGTATATGCAGTCCGCTGAAAAGTAATAAAAGTAACCCACGTGTATAAGATGAGATGAGTTGATAATTCAATCCATTGACACAGTGCTCCAACCACTGAAGGTAAGACATGTATTACATCCAGTCCAGTAAGGTAAAATAAAGTAAATCCATCCATAAATAAAAACTTTTCTTTTTCGAAAATTATACTAAAATGATGTGAAAAAATAGCAGATTGATCATCCAATTTATCAAAGGTTTATAAAATTCCATAGTCTTCCATAGGAAAATGTGTAACATGTTGTGTGGTGATTATTTTAAATAGTGCATTCTCATACCTAAAGCATATTCTGAATGATAAACTTCCCATGGTTTTTTTCCAAGCAAAATTGTAACCATGTTTGCAGCAGCATAAACTCCACAACTGTTAAAGTCTGGCTGAATAGTCACAAAAGGAATCCTAATTTTATTCGACATTGTTGAATTTGGATAACGCTTTTCCATATACGATCTCTCTTCGGGCGGCATGTCCCCAATTTTTGCCAGACACAAGCTGTCTAATATATTTAAGTAGGATCCATCAAAATAAAGGCAACGCCAGTGGGCTGATTCGTTACCTCCTATTAATTGAATGTCTATTCCTCCGCAAAGTTCGCCTTCGAAAGGTCGTATGTATTGTTGTTGAAGTAAATGTTGGCAATCTAGGAACTCATGATTTTTAAATGTTCGCCTCATAACGTTTAAAAATTTATTTATACATACTGTGTCCAAATATGCAGTACTTAAAATTATGCCCCGGCATTCTAAAAGTGGTATTCTATCAAAAAAGTCGCTGTTAAACTGCTCTTTTTTAATAGGAGCTTTAAAAACTCCAGTAATTTGTACATCGTCGTCTTCTAAATTTTCAAATTTCTCTACAGATGCATTGTTGCTACTGTTTCCTAATTTCGTTTTACTACATTTTTCATTACTTTGTAAAAGATTTTTTACCTCTGTTGTAGACTTTCTTTTCGTTCCTTTTTTTGCAGTTTTACTATCGCTGATAATTTCTTCGTCATTCATATTATTACTAACATTACTTTCATTGGGCATGATTTCTAGAACTTTGAATTGATCTTTCTTCTTATCTGCATTTAAAGCCTTCAAGTTTTGCTTTTTTTCTATTGCTTTCTTAATATAATCTGGTTCTCGTACATTCATACTTCTTTTTGTACGACTATCTACAATTTCAGGAAGTAGCCACTCATTATAAAATCTTTTTAATTTTGATTCCATGACATCTCTCCAAAAATGATCATCACGCATTACAATTACTTTTTTTATTCCTATCGTTGACCACATTGCAAATACGCAGTATTCTCGTCGACTTACATGAAGTTGTCCTTGTACTTGATAGTAATACTTGTGTTTCCTATTCATGTGATTAGAATTTTTTTTATCAAATGCATTTCGAAGATTATTGTTATTTTCAATTGCATTTTCAATATCTAAATTTTGTGCTTTAAATGGGCATTTTATTTCAACAATACCACCGGGAATAACACTGTACAAAAATTCGGTTGTTACTTCTTGAACAATACTTTCAGATACATTCAAGTCTGAAAATGTTATGTCTAGAAGGCCATCTGGTGTAGCTGCGAAAATCTCCTCCTCTGGATCAATTATTAAACCACTTTTTTGTATTTTCACAGGTAAATCTTTCTCCAAGTCTTTCAAAGCATTTTTCTCATTTTCTAATCCATATTGTAAAGCTATTACATTGCTTCCTTCGCTACATTCCTGTGAGTGAACAATTCTTTTCACTAAACTTTTGCAGGAGGTTGTTTCTCTTTTACTACATATATCGTACATTCTTGATGCAGTAATCATCATTGATCTCAAGTCCTTCCAATCATCTGACATGTATTGATCAACCGTATCTTTAAAAATTTTTTCTCGTTGTAATTGATTATCTTTCAGCTTTTTAAAATGTTGGTTACACAGTATTTCATAAATGTCCTCAGTTACATCAGCTTTCTGTGCATTTCGTCCGTAATCTTTATTATTGTGTTCACTTCTGTTGTTAGACTTCGTTTCCTTCTTTTTCTCATACTCTCGATTTCTTATCACTTGTAGTTGACGAGTGTATTCCATAACTGGTATAACTTCCGGAACTTTCTTTTCAAGTTTTTCATACATTGTTGATAGTGCTCCTTTTTTTGTTGACTGCAACACTTGAAGATTACATCGAGCTGCATATCCCTTTGTGTCCAACGAGATTTGTTCTTTTACCACCAGTTGCTTTGCAAATATTATTGTTGAAACATTCGCATTGGTTTGTAGTACCATTTTTTATTAAACTTTTTGCTTCTTTGCACATTTCCATAACTATGTTTTGTATCGGTATCAATTTCTTACTATCTCTTAATAGTGGTAACATATTTTCTTCCCCTTCTTGTAATTTTCCACCGCATGGAAAATTTAGTTGTAAACAATTTTTATGTTCTCCAAAGACATGGTTTACAACATTACTTATGTCTTCCACATAGTAATTTTGTCTTTTCCAACATGGAACTATCTTCAAGTCGTCTTCTTGTAGCAGCATCCAATACTTCAAATCGAATATTTAAAATGTTTTTGTCTAAAAGTTGACGTGCTTGCAGACCACCATCCCCACGTATTTCTGCAGGATCTTTTTTTGCGGCAAACTTTTGTAAAGCCTTACACAATTCTTTGAAATGTGACATGTGCATCCGTACTTTTTAACAATTATATCATGATCCTTGTATGGGTTTGCATCTAGAATACCTTTGTATACACTACTGTCGCCATCTGAAATTAGAATATTGTAGATAAGTCCATACTTTTCAATACTCGTCGTGAAAGCCTCAACTACAGCAGATTTCTCCATTCCGCCGGAACTTTTGCTCCTTTCATAATTTTGTAAACAGATGTGTTCTCTTGGTTCTCTACCTTCTCTTTCTGCTCTATCGCATGTTGCACAAACTTTTGTTCTAATGATAACGTCAATTACTTCCCCAGTTTCTACGCCAATGACAACTGCACAACATCCTAAAGCATCATAACCACCACCCTTATAGGACCTTTTGCTCCACGAACCATCAGTCTTAACAGCAATATAAGGAATGCCAGTTTCTGTCACATGACCCTTTTTCGAGCAATTTCAAGTTCCTTTTTCGCTGATTCTTCCATACATTTTTTAGATATCTTCATACTATCCAAATATATATCTTCTTGATATTTTCGAAATGTTTTTGCACTCATGGTTCGTACTCCTTGTGCGGCTCGCATCTCTTCTGCATTGGAACATCCAATTCCTGCCGTCAAACATCCAAGAACATAAGAATAGTTGGGATTTAAAGAATTTTCATCATTCGGATGTGTTAAGAATTTTATGACTTCCAAACATTCGTTACACTGCAAATAAATATATGTCATTTCACCTTTGTCCGTAAAGTCAAGAAGTTC